AGGAAACTCAACTGAGTGCAACACCACTGCAGAATCCCTGAATGAGCAAGGGACTTGCCTAATCTGTTGCTATACAAGGGGTCCTCTGAATGATCCAAAGCATCAATAGCACACCTTGGGGCAAAGCCTAAAATAGAGGGTCACAAATAGTATATGAGCATGACAGTTGTAGCCAGAGCCTCAGAGCGTGCACCAGCTTGGGAGGTGATTAACACTGCAAGCTATGCATCTGACAGAAGATCAGTAATCACACCTCTAGACCCCATAAGAAGTCTCTCTGAATTCATTAACAGTCAAGAACTCCAAGGCTACATGCAGCATCTTGCACCAGCTGATTAACCAGTCTCATTTGCAAAGAAACTGACAAGCACATCTTTTGTAAGTATTCCCAAAATATCTAGGATCCTCCTCAAAGAGACAGTATTATTCACTGACAGAAAGGGTTGAGAAAATTATCAGAGTATACTGACCAGAAACTAAAGTGCTCTTTGCCAAGTCAGGCAGATGACTGACACCACTGCACTGCAAAAGAATGATCTGAAATCATTTTACAAGGGCACGTAGCAATAGGACAAGGGGCAATGGCTTTAAACTGAAAGAAGGTAGATTTAGATTAGATACCAGGAAGAAAGTCTTCACCATGAGGGTGGTGAGGCACTGGAACAGGTTGCCCAGAGAAGCTGTGGATGTCCCATCCCTGGAAGTGTTCAAGGCCAGGTTGGATGGGGCTGTGAGCAACCTGGTCTGGTGGGAGGTGTCCCTGCCCATGGCAGGGGGGTTGGAACTAGATGATCTGTAAGGTCCCTTCCAACCAAACCATTTTATGATTCTGTGAAATCCTCCATAAATCAGCAAGATGCAACAGGTTCAGAAAAGAGACCCCTGTGCACTCCAAAAAAAAAAAAAAAAACAGGACAAGAAGAAAATTGCCATTAGGGGGAAAGCCAGCAATACCAGCAGCAAACTAAGTTTCTAGTCAGACAAGCGAGGGTGTGCTGCGTGGTAGCCTCTTCCACCTATTAGGAGCTGGCTAGGGGAGTCAGAAACAGGAACTGGTAACTGTGGCTGGTGGTACCACAGTCCTCTCAGTTACATGCTAGTTATGCTCATGCCCAGGGGACCCAGAGAATGTGCAGTCCCATGGAACACACTAAACTTAAAGGTACTCTACTTCTGGAAGGAATGGACTCCTGAGTGCCAGAAGAGGAACATGCAGCCTGATCCGTTCCTCTGCCACAGCTCAGCAGTCTGCATGTCTTGTGAGCAACCGCAAATAAATATGGAACGTGAGTGCCAAGAGCATTAGCACAATAACAACAAAACAGCTTACAACAAGGACTTCTCCAGAAAAGATGATGAGGGGCATAACTGTCTAGCACCAATGGTCTCAATTCTGAGTAGTGACTGAAGGCAATGGTGTCAGAGGTAGTTGCACAACCAAGTGCCAAGAACACACTTTGAACACTGATGGACATCACATGCTGTTAGAGCTATGGGTGCACCTCCTCTGCAGCAGCAGCTACTCACCCATTTTTTAAGATTGGAGCTTGTCTGACCAGACCAATCTTAATGACTCTGGAGAAGTCCAAGCTGTAGCACTACAGATGGAGACCTGAAAAAGTGGCTATGCTGGCAGCAGGTCTAAGGTCCAGTCTCTTGACTGAAGGCCTAACTGATTGATGACCTCTCACTCGGACAATCCAAGAGAGTGCTCCATATATGAGATGCGGTGTTCAAAACCATACTTGGGTTCACACAGGGTGTAGGCTTAGGATGAGACACTGCATCAAGTACGTTCAAAATTTCAGCAGAAATTCAGCAGAAATTACTGTATGCAACACTTTTATTCTTCTACATGCTGCAGCTGGAAGGAATGGACCTTTCCCTGAGGCTACAAAGCATCGAGTATGGGGTAGATGCTAGATGTATGCAGGAAATCACAGTGGATTCACTACTGGGCTGCAGTAGAGTAGGTTCAGCACAAACCACACCTAAAAAGGCTGTCACAACAAACACCCTCATACCGGTAAGCTAAGAGCTCAATGTGCAAGAGCACATGGGCTCGAGTCAGTACAGCATGGAGTGGACAGAGTCATTGTGTCCCGTTTAGTGCTTCAGTTGAAATCTTCATTCATCATATTCACTCAGGAGCAGCTAGCCAAAGTCTGAATGAACTTATCAATAACCAAGGTACAGGTTAAAATTTCAGGATACGTATAAAGCAGTAAGGGTTGGCTATTTGTCATCACTCACCTGGCCTTGTTTCCAGCACTCCCTGAAGATCTTCCAGTTGTTTTTGTTGCTGGGATCATGAAGGCAAAGAAGTCTACCATCACACAGCCAAGAGTGGGACGTGTGTGGATCCAGCACATTTAAGCCCATTACCATTTCCTTCACCTCTCTCTGTGTGTCAGCTACACTACTAGCTCGTTTTGCAGCATCAGACGTCTTTTTATTTTCCACCACAGAAGCAATGATATGGTCTAAGAAGTTAGGCAGGCTGGCTTTACCTTTGGCCCCCTAAAAGATGTAAATCCAGAGTTTAGTTTAGTCTTGCAACAGCATACATATTAATGCATTTCCGCTCTCATTCAGATTTTAGTCACCAACATCTTGCTATCAGAAAAACATGCAACAGTAAACAAATCAGCTCAGACATGTATCCAGTAAGAACAGGAACAGCTATGGCCCTGTTTTATAACAGTAAAACTTAAAATAATGTGCTACAGGCTATCTAGAAAAATATTACAGCAAACAATCATGAATAGAAAACTTAAGTGATCTAAACTCTGCTACTTTAATGGGGAAAATGGTTCATATTTTCCTTAATGTCATTAATATCTCAACTATTTCGCCATTTTCCTCATTCCATTACTAAGAAAGTGAATTCAACCCTGGCACAGGTAAGCTGACAAATACAGGAACATTAAGTAAATACTGACAGGCAGAGAGGAGAAAGTGCTTCCTGTATGTATAATCTTAATAGAATGATCAGAAGACTGCCTCTCTGGTTGTGGTATCCATGCTCCTCAAGGGACACTTAAAGCTCCCCAAGGGACATTTCAAATTCAGAAGACATTAAGGACACAATCTTAAATTGTGTTCTTAACTTAAAAAAAAAAAGTCTGCCTATAGGCCTTGCCTATAGCAAGAAACTTAAGAGACTAAATATATTTCATATATTCAACAGAGGATAAACACTAACTGGGTCATTATTCATAGGACATCTATGGGAGGGGGCAGAGGTGTGATAGATTTATGGCACAAAAGAGCTTCTCATTCTAACCAATAAAAGCAACCAACACCCCCACCCCCAAAACACACCCCAGGGACTGGAAGCTGAGTGAACAGTAACAGTGAAAAACTATTACTGGAACAATTTTGCCATCTTCTTTAAAACTAAAGCTCAATAGACAGCAAATTTACCATATGCAGAGCTATCAATCTAAAACATAACACTATTCATAACTGAAGATACTCAGTCAGTAAAAAATATTCACACAATTACAGAAGAGTCTAGGTCAGAAGGAGGACCTAGAGATATATATATGGTATAACCTTCCATTGAAATCAGGTTAAGTTACCCTAGGCTGGGTCAAGCCAAACCATAACTCCTCAGAGGAGGAGATTACATCACTTCTCTGGGCAGTCTATTCCACTCCTTGGATGTGAAGTCAGAATTTTTTCTTATATCCAGACAGAATTTCCCCTGCAGCAACTTCTGTCCATTGCCTCTTGCCCTGTTCCCATGCATCCTTGTAAAAGGAGTACCTCCATATTCTCTATAACTACCTTTTAGATATAAGATTGATCAGATTCCCAAAGTATTCTTTTCTCTAGGATGAAGATAAGCACTTTCTTCAACCTTTCTTCATGTGTCAAGCTCTCCAACATGTTAATTATTCTTCATAGCCCTCCAATTTTTCAGGGTCATTCTTCAACTGGGGAGATCAAAATTGGCAACAGTGTTCCAGCTGTGGCCTAACAAGCACTGAGTGAAATAATCATGTTCCTTGATGGTCTCCAGCTGTATGCTTCCTGATGCAGCCCAGGATAGTTTGCCTTTGCAGCTGCAAGGGTGCAATGCTGACTCATATTCAGCTTGCTGTCCTCCAGGACCCTGGGCTCCTTTCAGAAGGACTACATCCCTGCTAGTCAGACTCCAGCCTGTATAGCTGCTTGCAACTGCATTAGATTTCTACAGCCTGTCTTAGGCGAGAAAGACTAGGATCAGAACATCATCTGCTTATGATTGCTTAAAAATGTACCTTTACGATGACTCTCTAGAGGCCATGAAATAGATAACATGCAGTTTAACTATTACAGTCGATGGTAACTACTCTACACAACAGAATGTCAATGCTCCAGAAACACCAAAATAATTCTCTTCACGAGCAGCAGTCTATTACGCCTCTCAATTTGACCAAAACAACTGTTGTTTCTCAGGTATGTTTTGCTCATATACATTCTGCATGAAGCATCCAGGCATACAAGTCGGGGGTTGGACCACAGTTCCCCACAAGTTCTTTCAAATCTAAATTACTCTGTGAAGACCAGAAGTCAAGAAAGTGAAAAAAGACACTACACAATAGGTCTGATTCCACAACAGATCTGATTCAACATGGTGAGAGAATGCATAGAGTTGCAGGGACAGGGATACAAGTTGAGACAGGCCCTCTCAAGCCCTGAAGGAATAACTTGCTTTAAAACAACTGATAATTTTTTCACCTGTACTCAGTGATGAAAGGGGATGGGGGGTGGAAGTATTATTGAATTCACTTTCCTGTAGCAGTGACATATTTTCCCATATAGCCATACAGTTGCCTCTACCAAAAACAAACAACATGAACTATTAATAAGGTTCCATCCTTTCAGCCTGACATGGAGGGAAAAAAAAATACTGCTATGAGACAAGCCATTTCATCATCTTCCTCATTTCATCTGCCTAATATACTTTGGAGAAAGTATTCTCCAAGAAGAGCTCAGCCTTGATAAATTCCACAGAATCTATCCTTCTCTTAAAATAAATGCTTTTAACCATTTCAAATATCATTGATTTGTTCAGTTGTGGTTTTTTTCAAGGTTATTTCCTCCATAATGGATTAAAGAGAAACAAAGTATCCTTATTCCAGAATAAGCACCCAGAAATAGCAACTACACCTTAAATTCTTAAATTAATGTTCTATTTTAAATGCCTTTCAAGTATACATAAGTTTCTTTAAGGAACTGGTTTCCTTATAGTTTTTTGTCTTTTTCTGTGGTATGCTCTTGCAGTATTTTTAAAGATGTGGAATTCAGAGTAAGCTTTTATAGGGACTATAGGATTATCAATTAAACAATTTAAAGGCTATATTTAACTCACTTTCTTGGTCTCTTGCATGGAATAGCTTTTCCACAGCAGTAGTAAACCAAACCGACAATTAGCATCAAAATTCTCTACAACTTTGTGGGGTGGTAAGTTTTGCTAAGATATTGCATTTGTTTCAAGATTTAAGAATAAGATACTATAAAAACATTTAGATGAAACCTGTTAGATCATCATTAAATTCTTCCCTAAAACAGATATCACTGAAGGAATACAAAATTATTTACCGTAGAAGCTGCAGAAAAGACCGGAGGAAAGGGGATTCCTGTGTCTAATGGGACCTGGGGAAGCTTTCCTGGCCCTGTGTGTAGCAGATCTCTGAGGCTGGAGCCTTCAGCTTTGTTGCTAGATGTCACTGGGCCCAACAAGAGGCTATTAAACAGCTTTGGGGTTAGTGGTGAAACCTTTGTACTGGAGTTGAAGGAATCCAATCCAAAGGGTGAATGGGATTCTTTATTAAGTACAGACCTCAGTGATCCTGATTCTGCAAGATAAATATC